AGCGTAAGCCGATGGCAAATGATGGGCCCCCAATCCATATCCGCCCGGCATACCGCCGAAAAGCGACGAAGCTGCACTGTCGCTCCGAGGCCAATACGCTGCAATCAAAACCGAACCGACGATGTTCAATTACTACGTGTGTTCGTGTTCAACGCGAGAGGAACGTTATTATATCGTTCACCTCCTTTCGAAAATATATAAACCTCGATCGAACTGCGATAATATTATACGTACACGTGATGTTGCAGATTTTCTCGTTTGATTGACGATATTGATATATTCGAGTTTGAAATAGGTTTGAATAAACTTATGATCTATAAAAGTGTATAACAAGCAGATTGCGAATTTTTGGAAATGAATGTACAACAAGCGATGTACGATATATATATTTTAGAAATTAATTAAAAATTATTTTATTAATTTAATAAATATTAATAATAATAATTTAATAATAATAAATTTAATAATTATTAAATTATTTATTAATTTAAAATTACGTAATTCCAGTTTAAAACTTGATCGAATCCTATTAAAATTAGGAAAAATTTAAAGCGCGATAAGTTGGAAGATAATGGCTCGTGATGGACGAATGAAAGGTCATTAGAAGCGCGGATTCTTACTCTTTAAAACGCTATTTCATTTATTTTAATACGACTTCCGGTTCCCGAAAAATCATCGCGTGAAGAAAAAATAATTTATAATCGTTTGCTCTCGTCGCTCGTCTCATTGACCTATCTCAAATCCCTAGCAAGTGACAAACGCGATTTCTGGAAAAACGTAGCGCTCGATTCTTGGAAGAGAAGCTCATTCGTAATCTCGGAAATTTTTAAAAATCTTAAATCTTTATATCTGAGCAATATATCAGGACGATATCAGGACGAATGAAAAAATGATTTCTCTATTATGTGATGTTTTCTCTATTACTTATAGATTCGACAATATTTTTAAAAGTTTCATTTGCGTGAATATAACAGTTCGTGTATGAAGTATATAAAAACGTGATTTAAAACATAACAGCGACTCGAGATTAATTGCCCGATCTTTTAAAAATTAAATACTTCATGCATATATAAAGTTGAATATCTGCATAAAATACGACTCTTCCTTTCTCTCCCTCTACGAAATATTGTATAACGCGTTCAATGACGCGTTTTATGAAGTAATCGAATATATCACGAAGTTTTTCTTTTTTCTTTTTTCAGACTTTTCAATATTTTCATATATATATATATGAAAATTCATAATTATCCCAAAGAAATTATCCCGCGTAGGAGATAATTGCATCCAACGTTGTACGCGCTTTTTTTTTCGATTAAACGTAAGGCTAAATGATTAAATAACAAGAACATATTACACACGTAAGAAGCTCACGTCCACGAGGGGATCTAATCTCAAGATTTACAACGATCGCGGCCGATATTACGACGCACAAACCTTTCGAGATAACGGAGTAATCTAAGGTTATATCTCTCAATGGTATCCACGTACCAACAATCAATTGTCGTGGTAATAGCAATCGAAGTTGACCTTCGATTAGAATTGAAATAAACCTCGCGTATCCCGATACCTTCCAACTTGAAAACTTGTAGATACGTGATCTCTAATTTTCAAGTTTTCGAAGTTATTGTTTCGAAAAATTTTTTTTTTTTTAACGAAAAAGTAGAAAATGGGGAGAATATCGATACCAGTGTTGACACAAAATCTATATCGGTTAATCTCTCGCGTAAGCCTTTGGCTAAGATTAAATATAAAAATATACTTGCTATTTCTAGTAACTGTATTTATTCATTCGACAATTAAATGTGCATATATTGACCGGTTAACTGTATACATTTATTGAAATTATATATTCACTGCGACACACACACATACATATATATATGTATATTCAAATAAATCTTGTCTCTATATCTTCTGCATCCACAATGTGACAAGAACAGGTTTTAATTTGAAATTTCAGGATTATCTTTCCCCGTGATCTTCGATCTCTATCATTCCAATAATTACACGACAGAAATTCGAATAACATTATTATATATACACAATCGTCAAATTTTTTCAATTCTTTTTCTCTTAACGCGATCAAAGTAATTACCAAATTCCAAATATTTATCCAGATCTTCAATCAAAAACAACGAGATGAAAGCAAAAGAATCTTCGAATTTTCGTTCATTCCACACATCTTCGTGGCCCGTGTAACACGAATTTCGTGAACACATACACACACAACCATCACCAATTCGAGTTAATTAACCAATTATCCGCGAGCGTCATACGCAATTGATTTACCTCCCGGAATTAAATATAACCGGTGTAATAACGATAATTCGGCACCAGGAACACCGGCGCATACGGCGTTCACGAAAAATATTTGTAAATTCGGGGAACGAAGAGATAATTAGCCAGTCGACCAGGTATTTCGCCCTCGTTACGCGAGCCGCGTTAATGGACGCGGAAAACTTGGATGGTTGGTAACGATAAAAAAAAAAAAAAAAGAAGGAAAAATATGGATATACGCAAGAAAAAATGCGCGAGGAGAAATTGGAACGACGGGGGAGAAGGACGAAAGAGAGAAATAAATTCTGGATCCGTGAATCCGAAAACGCAACGAGTTTTGGTCGATCGAAATGATTTGGAGAAACTTATCTTTACTTCGATAGGGTAAAAAAAAAGAAGAAGATATTTCTTTTATCTTGCCTCGAGAACAAAACAAATGAAACGAATCATAAGGGAGGAGAAGGTAAAAAAGAGACAAAATTCCCTGCGATAAAATTTCAATCTCTCGTTATATATAATGCATCGCAACGTTACCACGTGTATACGATGTATATATATATATACATGTTCATATGTGTATATATGTATATATTATATACTAGAGCTAGAGAACATTATGCAGTTGCTCCAGTCAGTGAAGTAGTCGTGTAAGCCAGGCGAGGGTTCAACGACCGGTATAAATTAAAGCGGCGCTTGGATTTCAATGCCACGGCCTTGCTCAAGGCCACCGTACTCGTAGAAAATCAACGGTACATTTGCCGCAGCGTTTGTAACAATAAATTGTACCAACACCAGTGGAGCCACGTGCTTGGTAAAAATATCCTCCCTCCCCCCCTTCCTCCCATTTCCACCCATTTTTCGATACGATATTTTTAGATTATATTTAACGTTTATAGCCAATGTTTATCGAACGTCTAATCACGATCTAACAACGACACGAGCTCGTCGTTATTTCAACTTGCGAAACGTCGAAAACTTGGATCGACTCGAACTTTCTTCCTTCGACCGACACGCGACATCAAGGTTACCGTTCGTATCTCTCCGATGATTCGAGTTGAAAAATACACGACGATTCTTCCGTGACGAGAGTAGGAGAAGTAGGAGATCGGGCAGGTTGAGGGCGCGATGTATCATTACTCGAGGCGAGTAAACGGGTAATAATGGGAGATTTAAATATGATTCGAGGATATCCGCGACGATGATGGTTAATCGCAACATCCGATTAGAGAATTAACGCTTCGTGAAAACTTCGAGAGAGTATCGGCGTCCGGCCGATGTGCTGTTTGATTCTTTTTCTCTAACGAGCGAAAATACGATATTATAGAGCAACGAGTTGGCAGGGTGGCAACGCAGCAATTTATTCCTCGCTTCCTGTTACCACGATTACGACCCAACGTTTTTAATTATTACTCGGCTCGATAGTTATAATTCGTTTTTGATAGTGCTAATTGTGGCAGGGCGGGACGATTTAATTGGCGAGATGTTTTTTTTATTATCGGGAGAGGAAGAATTTCTTTGGTATTGGATAAAGAGGAGGAGAGAGTCAGGAGTTGGTTGAATGAAATATAATTTCGACAAGTTATGTTTTCGATATTTATTCTATTATGGTTACGAGGACACGGTTTATTAATATCCTTAACCGCATACCTTAAAATCGCACGTTTCAATAATTGAGATTACTTAAGATTTTATATCTTCGTCCGATCAATGATTTAATTCCTTATAAATGATGCAACGCATACTATATTCATTTCCTACTAATTATGAATAATTTATTCCCGATTTATTTTCCTCCGAATTATTTCTGAATCTATCCTCTTCCCTCTCTCTCTCACACACACACACGAATGGAAATAAAACATTTTCCACGCGATTCGATTTTCAACACGGACACACAAATTTCTTCCCTTCCCTAATGAGCTAGCGACGGTGAACGAGCTGTTTCGTGCTTTCCTCTTTAACGTGGATGCTTTAATGGCAATCCATTATTCGAGTAACCGAGCGAGCAGCGCGCGAGACGGAGAGAGAGAAAGATAGAGAGAGAGAGAGAGAGAGAGACAAGCCACATTAAGTCCGCCATTTTCGGTGCTACTCGTTCGCCATCGCGCCAACTTCCGTAACGATTCTCGATTAAAGGAACGCCATCAAATCAACATCTCGTTCATTCATCTGTTCAATCGTTATTCGTATTCGAATTTCCTTGCGATTCTCTCGATGATCATTAATTAAATAAAGAAGGGAAAAAAGAAAAATGTATAATTGAAGATTTCAACGATTTCTTTCAACGGTGTTTAACCGATGAATTCATGCGTGGATTCTCGTAACGAAGAGGAATTAAATGTAATCTTGTTTATACATGGGGGGACAATTTGAAGGAATATTCTTCGTTTCTCCGTTACACGGAATGATAAATGAGTCGATTAATCATTCTGAATGCGAATCGAATTAGATCGAGATCGAAGGAAAATTAAATGAAACGCAAAGCGAGAATGAAACTACTTGAGAGGAAGTAGCGTTCGAAATATTGTTTCAAGAGAAAATGATGAGGGGGATAATCTATGTCCATTAACCGACGAATTTGAATCGAGATTATACCGAGAATTGTAACCTCTGTGCGTTCTCGAAAATTCAACAAGATCGTGTTTCTGAACAAGGGTGGAACGGTCGAGTATGCGTCACGTTTATCGATTTGTGATTAAGCTTTTGAGTGAGAGATGGCCAGCTGGTCGGGGATTATTTATCCGGAACGAGGGTGGAAATAATAAGTGACGGTTCGAGCATATCCTCGAATTTAAAATTCTAACAATTTTCTTTCAAAAAG